AATTCAAAGCAAGGTAAAATCCATCTCTGGGAGCCCCTCCTCCTTCCTCAGTCTAGCCCTGGAAATCTCTGACTTCATATTTTAAGATCTCACTACCTAGTGGTTTACCTGCTACTTCTTAGGGAATACTTAAAATCTCTAAAACATTTGGACTCCTGTATCACTCTCTAAATGCAGGGGTTAACAGCCAAAACAAATAAACATTTCTAAGTTCCAGGTCTCAGCTGATGTCAAACAAATGAAATGTACTTTGTCAATTTTGTGAGTTCAATAATCTGTATAACTGGTATAGCTGCAGCAAGGTAATTGTAAAATAAAATAATGGGTGAGTGAAGATGATGGGAACATGATGAGAAAAAAAGAGCCAAAGTCCTCTTCTACTAATGGGCTTGCTTGAATAGTGGTGAACTTAAGAACCTTCTGAGCAAAATTTACACTTACTTTGCCTCTTTCAAGGTATAATACAGGTCACAATGGATTTTTACTGACAGTGATCCTTCAGCAATTTTAGTGACTCCCCAAACTACTTGGCCAGGCATTCAAGTCCTTCATAATAAGACTACACTCATTCCAAACCTTGTTTCCTACCGTGCTCCAGTTTGTACTCTACCTCAACACTTCTTGAACTCTACTGAGCACACATGTTCCCTAGGGATCTTGTTAAAATGCAGATTTTGATTCAGCAAGTCTGGGTTGTGTTCTGCTTTTCTAACAAGTTCCTAGATGATGCTAATTCTTGTGGGAATCAAACTTTGAATAGAAAAGGCTGACATTCTAGCAAAATGGGACTATCTAGAAGTCATCAAATCATGAATTTCCTACCTCCACACCTTTGGCTCACACTATTCTTCCACCTACTTCTTGATTTCCAACCTTCAGAATAGTATCCTTCCTTTAGGGTTTATCTCAGGTGTTACTTGCTTCATGATGACTTTCTTTATCCAACTCCATCCAATCCAGTACATACACAGAAACAGAGCAGGACCACCAGGGGCACTACCATTCACTGGCTATTAAGAATGTGCTCTGTTCACATCCATCATCCCATCACTTTATTTCCTAGTTATTACCCTTATTTTACAACAAATAAAGGGGAACTTACAGAGTTTAAATGTCCCGAGGTCACACAGCTAATAAGCAGAACAAGAAACTTGGGCTTTTAAATTTCTAAAACTCTATTCTGGCCCTTCACAGATCTTAATCTATACTTCCCCTATACATTTTAGAGCATGACTTGTGTTATATTATAGTTCTTTGAGTATCTGTCTTTTCCTTCCTCCCACCACCATTATGTTGTAAACTCCTTGAGGACAGACATCCCAGTCATTCAAAAAAATCTCTCCTCCTCCAAGATGCCTTGCATTGTGCTTGGTACAATATTATAAGTACCCCAGAAATGTATATCAGTCTTAACTCAGCTAAAACTTTCAGTGCACTGGTTGTATAGCCCATAGCAGATGCCAAGCAACTTGCTTCTGGGGCTGTCATGAAGGAAAGAGGCAAGTATGATTTGGGGGTGTGTTCAGCATTCCTAGTATCCCCTCTATACTAGGATTCCTGAAGACTCTTTGGGGAGTTCTGGTGGACTATCATACATTCTACCTCTAAACTTGACTCTACATAACTTCATTCTCCCTTTTTAAGAAGCAAAACAGTCCTTCCACTGATTAAGAGCCTTATAATAGAAAACACTGTAAAAGAAACCCCATATATGGGTCTCCTTTTAACAGTAATAATGGAAACAAGGTTTGGATTCCTGCTTTACAAACTATAGTCAAGAAAAGGCAATCCCTAAAGAGGTATTATCCAAGACAGTTGATTTATCCAAATACAGCCATTATTATGCTAAGTGAAATAAGCCAGGTGGTAAAAGACAAACACCATGTGATCTCACCTATAAGTGGAACCTAATCAACAAAACAAACAAATGAGCAAAATATAACTAGAGGCATGGAAACATGCAACTGACTGACAGTCACTAGAGGGAAAGGAGGAGGAGGGTAATGGGGCAAGAAGGGGAAGGGGCAAGACAAGGAAAACGAATAGAGGATTCATGGGGGGAAAGGCAGGACAACTGTAACTGAACAACAATTAAAAAATGAATCAAAATTAAATAAAATGAAAAGTCCAGTTCCCCAGTTATACTAGTCATATTTCAAGTGTTTGATGGCCACATGTGGCTAGTAGCTACTGTATTACACAGCACAAAATAGAATATGTATTTCCATCATTACAGATAATTTTCTGGACAGCCCTTCTCTGGATTCAAACCCATATCTGCCATTTACTAGATGTGCCACTTACAAGAGGTATAAAACAAGTCACTTGATCTCTCTGAGACTGTTTCTGTACTGTGAATAGGGATGATAAGACCTCCCCTCACACCACTTACAGGAAAGTGAGGAAAATTAAATGAGAGAATGTATGTTTAGGGCCTGGAATATATTACACACTAACTAAATGTTGGCTCACTTCTTCTAATCCAATCAGGGATTTATATAAACTTGCCTCATAAATGGAATAAGAAAATTATAGTACTGTGGCTTCTTTGTATGCAGACCACATCCTATTTACAGCTTGGGAGATGTTCATTTTGCATTCATCTTATAACTTTTTCTTCCAGATCATACACAGAGATCAAGGTAAAACATTAATAAGTAATTCTGGGAGTAGTCAAGTCAGTGATTGCTCTTTGCTTGTACTATTTTTAGGAGAAGAGACTATATTTGTCACCACCTTGAACTTTCCAACATGAAAGAACCACATTCCCCCTTACAACTGAAATACTTCCTCGCAAAGCTTTAATCAGTGCTCAGTTTCAACTGGGTACTATATTATTAGGACACTGCCAACAGTGACACTAGAGCTAGAATGGAGAAGCACCATTTCTCTCTAAATCCATATTTTCCAATGCTCAGACAAGTTCTCTGTGTTTTTTCCTATGGGATTGATACATCCCAGGCCTGGTAAAGGTGGATTATTTCAGAAAAGTCTGAACTAAATTTGTTAAGGTGTTTAAGTTCCATGAGCAGAAAAGCAAAATACATATTTCCAACTTCAAAAAAAAAGAATGCTTCAGGACTCTTTTCCCTTGTGCAATTTAAGGCTTGAGAAACAAAGCAAAATCTTATTCCTCAATGAAAACAAAGTTCAAAGTGACAGATGGTAGACAGGCGATATATCATTTTCCTTAGGACAAAGTCTGGCAGTCTTCAGAGGAACTGAGAAAAGAAAGTCTTATTTTCCTGTAGTTTAGCCCTGGGGACAGTTATTAGCAACTACTCTTCTCTGCCATCTTTGGGAGTGGGGGATTACAAAACTGGTTATTCATCAGTGCCTACTTTGTGCTGCCTCTAGGCCATGTTGCAATTCCTGTTGACCAATTTTCTATTTGAGTGACAGGTACAGGGCAGGTTCTTAACACACTGACCATTTGGTTATCTATTTGTATGAGAATGTGTCCAGAGGTATTGTATTTTGGGTGTCTCTGTCTAAATAAAATAAATAATTGCAGATTTCAGAGCCTGAGGACAGAGAATTGTTCTGGTATTGAAATTGGAATCTATCTTCTCAGATCTGTAATGAGGTCTTTCCTTCAGACTGATTTATTTCATAAAGCTGAGGAAATTATTAAAAGCAAGCACAGTTCTCCCTGCAGAAACCATCCTACTGGTTTGGAAAACTAGCTAGTGAGCTGGATCTGGTCAGGAGTCTAAGCTGAGCCAGCCATTTTAGTAAGAACATTTACTACACACAGAATACACCAAGATTCTTAAGACAAGAGTAAATAAATGGTAAAGAAGGTTCAGCAATAATAATTTCACATGCTGTAAGTGAGTAAAATTTGAAGTAGCACTCAGGTAAATTTGCATTTCAGTGCAGGGTCCTTTGAATGGGAGAATAAGAGCTGGAACTCTTTGTTTTTGAAGAGTAAATTTTATTAATTAATGCGAAGATATACACATCCTTTAAGACTGATGAACTGCACTGCATGAATAACATTTTGTATCTTTCCTTTTCCTCAAATGTACACAATAATTTTACCAAATTTCCTTTCTTCATTCATTCAGCCTTCATTAACTATTTATCCAATCACTGTGGTACAATTTTAATTACCTTCTAATTAACCAATGATGAGTTTATGATTTAGCCTTCCCTAAAGATAGAACTCCATAAATACAGTAAATCTTCATTTACTTGTTCAAAAATTTTATTCTCCCTCTGTCCCCCACCCCATTAATTTTGCTATACTGTATCATTAATGGTCTGGAGTTATGCTTTCTGCATTCCTAATCTTAGGTTCCCATTTGGACTAGGTTTTAAAGAATGTATGATCAACAGCTTTGCTGTTGGCTATGAAATTAAACACATAGAAGAAAACAGAAATTCCTGTAATATGCCAATGCATCTTTGTAGATCCATACCTTCCCTATAACAATTCCACTTCAGGAGTATCAATACAGGGAATAGTCAAGTGATTAATTCTTTAGAGCAGTCCCTGGGCTGAACTAAAAACAACAAAGGAAAAAAGCTAGAATCTACTCCTTGAGAAGACAATGTGACTGTAAAGAAAAAGCCTGCAAAAAGAATTAATATGTGTTTGAAACACATCTTACTATTGCTGTTGTATAAAACAATACATAGAATCTTAATTTTGCTCCAGTCTGGAGTCTGAGGTATTTAATATGTACTGGAATAAATGAACCATTGAAATAATATCGACAGGTAGTCTCTCTTCTTATTCACCTAATTCATTCAAACAATTCTGTGTGCCAGTCAGTATGCTAGGCCTTCAGATTTCAGGACTTGATAAGACAGTTTCTTTTCTCCAAAGGATCACAACCAGAAAGGGAGGCAGATAAATACACAGAAACCGTGGCCCAAATTATTGCATCAGCATCATCTCCTGACACTTTGTCCAAATACCCTTTGTTTCATTTGTAACATCTCAAATTCCTCAAATATGCTACACTTTTTCATGCCTCTCTGCTATTTATTGTGTGCTCACTTCAGGAGCACACACACCAAAATTGGAACAATACAGAGATTAACATGGCCTCTGTGCAAGGATGACACACAAATTTGTGAAGCATTACATATTTTTTCAGTATTTCACCATTGAATATGATGCACTTATTCTTTTCCTCCCTCCTTCTCCTCCCTTTGCTCCTTCACCTTCTCCTCTCTCCCCTTCCTTTTTCCATTTTCTCTTTTCCTCTTCCCTCCCCAGTCCACCCTCTCCTCTTCCACCTGTCCTTCTTCCTTGCTTCCTGAGAGCCTGTTTTGCGTTAGTTGGGGGTCACAGCTGGAGGTTGGGGAGAGGTCCCTGTGGACTTCCCTCTTCCCCAGCCACACCATCACCTAATGCCTGAGCATCTCAGGCCTCAAGGGAGCCCAGCTCTCTGTCCCACCAGGATCCATGGCGAGTGTGAGCTGCAGCAGCCGTGGCCCCATGAGGAGAGGAGGAAGATGCCGGCTGAGCTGCTGCTGCTGATTGTCGCCTTTGCCAGCACCAGCTGCCAGGTGCTCTCATCACTGCACATGGCTGCAATCCCGGATGGCCAGACGGTGTGTGTCATGGTGACCGTCTGGCCCTGGCCCAGGAGCAGATCAACAGGATCACTGAGGTCCCAGCCAAGGCCTGAGTGGAGGTAGACATCTTTGAGCTACAGCAGGACAGCCAGTATGAGACTATGGACACCATGTGCCAGTTCCTGCCCAAGGGAGTCGTGTCAGTCCCAGGGCCCTTCTCCAGCCCTCCATCTGATTCTACCATGGGCCATATCTGTGGGGAGAAAGAAATCCTGTACATGAAGGTGAGTCCCAAGGAGATGCCTAGCCTTCTGTACCTTTGTTTCACGTCTGTTAGTCTGAACCCCAGTAACAAGGATGTCAGCCTAGCAGTCTCCAGAATCCTCAGGTCCTTCAGCTACCTCTCAGCCAGCCTCATCAGTGCCAAGGCCAAGTGTCTGCTGCGACTGGAAGCGCTGGTACGAGGGTTCCTCATCTCCAAGGAGATGCTGTCAGTGAAGATGCTGGATGACAGCCAGGACCCCAAGCTGCTGCTTAAGGAGGTCCATGATAACAAGGTGTCCACCATTATCATCGATGCCAATGCCTCCATCTCCCACCTCATCCTCCATAAGGACTCGGAGCTGGGAATGACCCCTGCATTTTACAAGTACAACCTAACCTCCATAGACTTCACTATCCTGAACCTGGACGGGATGGTGGAGGACTCCTAGAATAGCCTGGGCACCTCCATCTTCAACACCTTGAACCCCTTCTACCCTGAGTTTGTACACAGCCTCAGCATGCCCTGGAGGGAGAACTATGAAGCCAGCACCCACCCAGGGTCTGTGCTGTCGGTTGCCCTGATGTTCAATGCTGTGTGCATGGTGGTAATTGCCTTCTGGGTTCTAAACTGAAGCCAGGAGATTGGTATGAAGCCACTGGCCTGTACATGGGCCACCATTTGGCCCCATGGGACCAGTCTCATGAACTACTTGCATATGGTAGAATATGATGGGCTGACTGGGTGAGTTGAATTCAACAGCAAAGGGCAGAGGACCAATTATACCCTATGTATCCTAGAGATGTCCTGGCAGGGCCACAGTGACATCAGGGTACAGTACTGTAACCAGTCCCTGGCCATGAATGCCACCACCCTGGATGTCAACTTGTTGTAGGAACTGGCAAACAAGATGCTGGTGGTCACAAACATTTTGGAAAACCCAGTAAGTCATGTGCTGGCCCAACTTCCAGGCCCTGTCAGGAAATGAGCGCTTTGAAGGCTTCTATGTGGACATGCTATGGGAGCTGACTGAACTGCTGCATTTCTGCTACTGCCTGTGGCTGGTGGATGACGGGCTGTACAGGGTGCCTGAGCCCAGCAGCTCTGGAAGAGCAGGGTCAATGAGCTCATCAACTAGAAGGCAGACTAGGCTGTGGCTGCATTCACCATTACTGCCAAGTGGGAAAAGGTTATCGGGACTTCTCCAAACCCTTCATGACCCTGGGAATCAGCATCCTCTACCAAGTGCACATAGGGCACAAGCCCAGCTATTTCTCCTTCCTAGACCCCTTCTCCCTTGCTGTGTGGCTCTTCATGCTTCTTGCCTACCTGGCTGCCAGGCTGAGCTCCTATGAGTTGTATAACCCACACCTGTGCCTGCGGGTGTGCCCCCACCTCCTGGAGAACCGGTACACGCTGGGCAACAGCCTCTGGTTGCCTGTCAGCAGCTTAACATAACAGGGCTCAGAAATCATGCCCTGGGTGCTGTCCACTTGTTGCATCATTGGAGTCTGAAAACTTGAGAGATCTGGTGGCACGCAGATGGCATTTCTACCTGGCATTGATGTCTGTTACTTTGGCCTTGGTCCCCTCTTTCCTTCAGTTATGTTCTGGCCTGGCCTCCATAAGCACTCAGATTTGATACCTGTCTTTCAAGTAGCCTCTGGATTTCATTGCAGTTCATATAACACTTCTCACCTCCTTTCCCTCATTAGAACCACAGAAAACTGAGGAGAATGCTTAGGAAATGGAATGTTCCACTGGTTTGATTAGAAGACAGGCCCAGAGAGAGGGGGTGATTTCATATAGAGCATGCATTCACATAGAGTCAGGGTAAGGCCAAGCTGGGCTCCTGCCCCAGTGCCACTAGCTAGCCCTCCCCACTGCCTGAGCCCAGCCCGCACCCCAGCCCTTGGTGACTTCTCCAGGGCAATCCAAGGCATCAAGCCTTCTCAAGGAGCACTTCTTCCTCACCTCTTCTTGTCAGTCAGAATTCCTGCATCAACAGTCCCTCAGCAGATGCTATGCTGGCCCCTCCAAGTGCGAGGCGCTCAGGTGAAGAATCAGCCCTCAAGAGGCGGAGGAGTTGAGAATAAACAAGTAAATATATACATAAACACAGAGACACCATATTTTATGTGATGAACATGTGCCAAAAATATCATTTAATTCAAGACTAACCATAACAGTGGCAGGTTTTTCTTTTTTCCAGTTTAGAGAGACTAACTACCATGTGGCACTGTTTGTAATTCATTTGGTCCACTGGTTTTGAAAAAATATGATACAATTATGGGTTTTTCATGGCTTTCTCTTGTTGCTTTCTACTAGGTTTTTTTTTCTCTTGTCAAGCCTGTACAGAACCACTGGTTATAAAGAATCACTGAATGCTGGAAGTGGAGAGAACCTAAAGTTTGTAGCCCAAATCTGCCATTATACAGATAGACATGAGGCCCAGAGATGCCACATGTCTTATCCAAGTTTACTAGAGTTGTTAAAGGCAGAGCTTGGACCAATAATAATAACAACTATGATTTATTACCTGCCAACTTAATGTCAATTATTATGCTAATTAACATTATCTCATTTATTCTTCATATTAACCCTGTAAGATAGGTACCATAATTTTCATCTTATAAATGAGGAAGCTGAAGCTTGGAGAGTTTGGAACTTGTCCAAGGTCATACAGCTATTAAATTGATCATCTGGTGAGCCTGGCTGATTTTGTTATGTCAGAAAGTAAGGAGACTTTCAAATGCTTATAAAAGCTTGTCAAATGGAATAAACCAGCTTGAAAGGGTTATACTGGCAAAATGTATAACAACATAAGCATCAAAAATATTTAATGGAATTGGTTGAAGTACTTAGAATTAATAATAATATATTATAAATCCATAATTCTATGCAAATAATAATAAAACAACAAACTCATTTGTTACCAAAGGTAGTGGGTATAACATTAACTGTGAAAAATGGTAATTTTTCTCTTACTTTGAAAATAGGTTATTAAAGGAAAGTAATTAAGCATTTATCCCATATTTTCATTAGTAACTATTATCAGGACAAACAAATAAAACTTGTTGATGAGAAGAAGTCTTATTTATAGAGGGATTCCAGATAATAAATGCAGAGGAATAATAAAATTAGAAAAAAAAACTTACAACCCCTTAATGAAATAGTTGGTTCAGGCAAAGATCAACAAAAGATGCTAAAACCAGTTGGTGAAAGATTGATGGAAAGTTGGTGTTTCACCTGTTTGCAAAATTTCACCTCACAGATTACTTGCTAAACATGAGAAGGAAATCTAATTTTACAATTCTAGGATCAGGTTATCATTATCTTAACCAAAGGATCCATCTTTGCTTTGCAAATATTGGGAAAACTAGGCTCATGTGCCTTCTAATATGATGAAATAGGAAGTAAACAGCACTACCTAAGAAGTATTTTTTTTTGCCAAAAAATATTTAACTTCTAGTTAAAAGGAAGTAGAAAGGGTGGAGAAATGATTCCCCTGTTCTATGAGGAAGCAAGCAGACAAATCCAGAAGGTGGGTTTTGGCAACAGAATGGCAAAATAGTTAAAGATTGAAGAGACACACAATAGAACACAAATGAAGAAACCAACTATAAAGACATTTGGGGGACAGTTAGAAAATCTTGAATAACTTGTGGATGTTAGATTATATCATTGCAAAATTATTGTTAGTATCATCAGAGATGATGTTATTGGATATAAGGAAATGTCCTTAATTTTTTTTATTTTAATCATTGTTCAAATACAGTTTTCTCCTTTTTACTCCCAATCCAGCCTTCCCTCCCAGCCCTCCCCACTTCCCTTCCATTACCACCCTCCCCTTAGTTTATGACCATGTGTCCTTTAAGTTTGTTCCTGTGAACCCTTCCCACTGTCCCCTGAAATTCCCTCTATTCTCTTCTGTGGGCACTGTCAGCCTGACCTCTATTTCAGTGTCTTTGGTTATATTTTGCTTGTTTCTTTGTTTTGTTATTTAGGTTCCTGTCAAAGGTGAGATCATATGGTATTTGTCTTTCACTGCCTGGCTTGTTTCGCTTAGCATAATGTTTTCCAGCTCCATCCATGCTGTTGCAAAGGGTAGGAGCTCCCTCTTTCTTTCTGCTGCATAGAATTCCATTGTGTAAATGTACCATAGTTTTTTGATCCATTCATTTACTGATGGGCATCTTGGTTGTTTCCAGCATCTAGCTATTGTAAATTGTGCTGCTATGAACATTGGGATGCATAGGTTCTTTTGAATTGGTGTTTTAGTATTCTTAGGATAGAGTCCCAGCAGTGGA